GATCCTCTGTGTTTTGCCTGATGTTTCCCAAAATGCTGCTTAAAGTCTTGCTGTGGTGCTGCTTAGTCTTACCCATGTGTTTGAGGAGAATTGACTCTGGATGAAAAAGTGTGCTGCAGATGTAAGTTGCTTAAAGAAGCAACATTAGAATTAATAAATGCCAACACAGGTCTAGTCACATTCTTAATTTTTTTTACAGCTGCTGTAAATTACAGTTGAAGGCATAAAAATTCGCATCTTGATATGGCTTAAAGATTTAGACTGAAGTTCAGCTGCTAATGCAGGTGTTTACCTCATCATGCAGACATGTTTATTTCATTCTGTTTTTTTTTAAAAAAAGTAAATGATGACCTGTCATCTAGAGAGCCTTGCTGCTTGTTTGCAGCTCATTCAAGATGTTTTAGAGAGGCCACTGAGGCTCTTCTGACCCTCTGTTATCAACTGCTGCTCTTCCATGTAGGCACTGGTGATACTGTTGGGGTGACCTGGGAAGTATTACATGTGACTATATAGCTCACGGTGTGATGGTCAAGAGCACGGGTACCCAGGTGGCATTATCCTGGATCCTGCCAGTAAGGGGAAGGGTATGGAGGAGGATTGAGTGAAGTAGCTAAGGCCTTCTTCAGACAACTGGAAGAAGCCTCATATTCACAGGTCCTGGTCCTCATGGGGGACTACGATGCTGATAATCTGTGGGAGAGCTGAGCGCGCACACGACCAATGTGATCAAGCAATGCTCATTTATTACAACTAAGAAAGCCCTTTTATAATGTTCTCCCACACACGTGAGTAACATGCAGTACAAGTCCTTAAGATTGGACAGTTAACTCAGCCCGCGCTTTAAACCTTCTTATGACTGGATAAAAAGTGCCACATCAGCCTTGCCAGGCTTCCTGCCTTGTGTAACTTATTTCTGTCCCAACCGCTTCCAGGGGTTGTTTGTCTCCCCCCTCATTCAGGGTCACATCCTTATCGCATTCTTGCTCGGCTGAGGCTCTTATCAGTCTTGTTCTCACGCAGGATTGCTCACATGTCCATTCTCTCGCAGAAAGCCCTCTTGAATCTCAACAATAATCTGCTGGAAGGAGGATGCAAGTGATCCATGAGATTTTTGGATTCCACTGATGACAACTTCCTGACACAAATGATTGAGATGCCAACAAGGAGAGTTGGTCTGCTGCACCTGATACTTACAAACAAGGAATAGCTGATTGTGGATATTGAAGTCAGGAGGCAGCATTGGCTGCAGTTACCATGAGATGCTGGAGTTCAGGATCCTGAGAGGAGGGAGCAAGACAAAAATCAGGACCTCAGCTTTGGACTTCAGGAGAATAGACTTTGGCCTCCTCAGATATCTGCTTGGAAGAATCCTCTAGGATACAGGACTGGAGAAAAGAGAGATTCAGGAGAGCTGGTTGATATTCAAGGATCACTTCATCTAAGCTCAAAAATGGTCTGTCATGACAAGCAGGAAATAAAGCATGGATCAAGCAGGATGTTGTTTTCCTTGACTTTGGTAAGGCTTTGGACTCTGTGTCCCATAACATCCTAATAGAGAAGCAAAGTATGGATTAAATAAGTAAACAGTGAGGTTGATTGAAAACTGGCTGAATGTCTGCACCCAGGTGGTAGTGATCATTTGCACAAAGTCCAGTAGGAGGCAGGTCACCAGTGGTGTACTCACAGAGTGAAAAATAGGTACAGTCCTGTTCAATATCTTCAGTGATTTGGATGATGAAGCAGAGTATACCCTCAGCAAGTTTGCCAATGATACATAACTGTGAGTAGTTGATACACCAAAGTGATATGTTTCCATTCAGAGGGGCCTCGACAGGCTCAAGAACTGGGCAGAGAGGAATCTCATGAAGTTCAGCGAGGGGAAATGTGAAGCCCTGCACCTGGCCAGGAATAATCCCATGTAACTGTACATACTGGGTGCCAACTGTCTGGAAAGCAGCTCTACAGCAAGGGATCGGGATCCTGGTGGACAGCAAGTTGAGCATAAGCCAGCAATGCACCCTCATGGCAAGGATGGCAAACAGCATCGTGAGCTGCATTAGGAAGAGCATTGTCAGCAGATTGAGGGAGGTGATCCATCCTCTCTGCTCAGTGCTGGTGCGGTCACATCTAGAGTGTGACATCCAGTCTGAGGTCCCTAGTGCAAAAAAGAAATGAACTTACTGGAGCAAGTACAGCAAAGAGCCATAAAGAGTGGAGCATCTTATGTATGAGGAGAGGCTGAGACTGAGCCTCAAGAAGGGAAGGCTCAAGGGAGTGGATCCTACCAATAAGAGTAATACTTGCTGGAAGGGAATTAAGAAGAAGCCACCAGACTCCTCTTGGTAGTACCCACTGATAGAATAAGAGTCAACGAGCACAAATTAAAACAGGTGAAATTCCATCTGAATACAAGGGACCAATGTTTTACTGTGCGGGTGATCAAGCACTGGCACAGACTCCCTTGAGAGGTTGTTGAGATTCTGCTTGTGGGGCTATTCAAAAGCCATCTGGACATAGGGTCACCTAGAACTGGTTGCCCAGGACTGCTTGAGCAGGGCGGCTGGACAGGATGATCTCTAGTGATCCCTTCCAGCTGCAGTGACTCTCTGAACTTTTTTTAAAGTCCCATCACTACAAGCAGTAAATTCAAAAACCAGGAACTGTGAAAAGAAAAACTTGTTCAGTTGATTACTCTCACACTAAAGGGACAGAATCCTTTTTTTGATTTGTCATAGTGTAACTGTGGTAGCTCATGTTGTCTGATCTTTTTAGGATTCTGTAGTGAGAAAGTTTTCTTCTCCAGCTTTCATATAGGGTGGTCCATGGAGAGCACAGTAATGCTAAACAAGGAACAAAGGTTCATGGCAATCCAGTCACTGGTTATTGCAACAGATGTGTGCTTGAATCTTTCCACAGAATGCAACGCATTTCACCTGAGGCACTTCAGATATATATGGCTTACAGAAAATATTGATGCCCTGGAGAAGAAAGGCAGAAAAAGTTGTTGTGGCAAGTGAAGCATTGTAGTTTGCTTTCATTCATTCATATATATATATATATATATATATACACACACACACAGATCGCTGCATCTGAAATGGGTAGAAGTGTACAGGCCGATGTTTTATAGGCAGTTCTTTATAATATAAATCAAATGGAAATACATCTCAACCAAGTGTATGGCTCCCTATGAAAAGCTTTTCAAGTATTGAAATTCAGACTAGGTTAGTTTTCAGATAGTACTAACTTGGAGAGATTCCAAATTTTGCCCTTATGTGTTGCCACTCCCAAGCTAGGGCACGTTCTTAGAATTCACATAGTGAATTTTTTAATGCACATTTCTTTAAAGATCTTTGCTACTTACTGTAGGGAGGAGAAATAGGTCGAATACAGTTTTAAAATTTAGCAGCACTTAAAGGAAATCTTTGCTTAAAAACCTTCAGGATTTCAAGCCAGTGAACAACAGCATATGTTTACTCAAAGAATCCAGGTGGCTGTGGAGTGTGTTCAATTTCTGCATTAGCAGTGAAATGATCTGAGAAACACATTTCAATCACAGTACTGAAAGCAGTGTTAGATTATACTTGGGAACAAATGTTTTATCCAATTGTGGTCCCCATGTGTATTTGCTCAGAATCAAAGAAACTGATAGGTTGCTGACTCTTGTTGCTCTAGTACAAAAATGAGTGATTATATTTTAGAGGAATGGTGAGAGTGGATTCAAGTGGATTTGTGCTGAAGTAGATAAGTAGAATACGGATGAGCAGCAGATACAATAACTTTTTCCTCAAGGTAGTAACAGGTAACTTTGTATGGGAACCTGTTGAACAGTCTCCAGCCAATCCACAAGTCATCTCTCTGCCCTCAGGATGTTTCCTGTGCCATGGGCTGTGCCTTTCCTTCTTCAAGGAGAGTAATCTATTGCAACAGATTTTACAGAGTCTTCAGTATTCTTGATTTGGAATCTCTGCTTTTGTGTCTTACATACAGCATGACACCTTGATACTGATTGATGTGTATTTTCAGGTAATTTATAGTTTATTGCAACTATATAGACAGCTTCTTATTATTTTTGAGGATGAAGTAATAAGTTGGATCAAAGAATGCATATCATATATTTTATCTAAAATGTTTGGAAACACTAACTTTATTAAATGAGAAAAATCTCTGGTGTTTGTTCTCTACTAATCTAAATGAAAGAATGAAGTATATATGCACTTTTTTCCATTTGCAGCTTTTTCAGTCTTCTTCCTGCTCATTTTTAATATATTTCTATAATTAAAAGTTAACTTGTTCTTACTTTATGAAAGAACATTCATGGTATGTAGATCTTTCTTTTATTTAAATACCTTGATATCAGAAATATGTCCTAAAAATATCTAGTAGCCAAGCTTAAGAGAACTATCACATTCAACATGTTAATCAGATAATTTTCCCCTTTGGCACCATTTGCACTTTACATTCTTCAAGTTCTTTAGTTGAATGAGCCTGTACCTTACACTCTCCAGGAGTGAATAATAGGGCCTTAAATTTGTTGTTGCTAATTGCAGCTTGCTGATACTCCTTTTGTAGCCAAAACGGATTTGGAAAATATCTCAGTACAAGAATGCAGGTTTGCACCCTGCAAATTTCCCTGTCTACAGTAGAAATTCATCTTGTCTCACTAGGGTAGAGCTGATTTTTAGAAAAGGTAGGTAGATCATTTCCTAGGGTCAGCATTATTTTAAGCAGTCGTTTAAGAGGAGGAGGAATTAGGAAAAGGTGATGAATTTTTCAGGTTTTCATGAGAAAAGTCCAGTAAATAGATTGTAAACTCCTACATCCATGCTCTAGGTAACACAGCTCTTGTTCCTCAGTGGGATGAGGAAGCTGTGAATCTGAAACTATTTTCTCCTTTCTGCTACTAATAAGAATATAGCAAGCCATTTTCAAATGAGAAATCTCAAGTTTATGCTTCTTTCTCCAAATGAAAAAATGTGTTTGCTTCTATTTCCAATTAGGAACACATATCCTGGAACAGAAAAAAGAAGACTTTTGTGTTGAGTTTCAGTTTCATCAGAATTCTCAAAAAAGCCCAGAATTTTTCATCCACGCAGAGGGTGAAGTGCTGAAAACTTCAGATTTTCCAGTAACCAGTCAAAGAGGAGCCCAAAATTATTGTCATTCCAGTCCTGAAGAATCAAGGTAAAAACAAATACTCCTATATATAGTTTTTCTGGATTCAAATTACAGACACTATACATACGGATTTTTTGATAAAGATAGGAAAGTTTACTTCCCAACCAAGAATCAACTTAGACTCACCATATCTACCTTTCTTCCCTTGTGGAATGCAGCATTGCACTACTGTATTCTCTAGCACTGATAGAAAATATGATCATGGCAATTGTTTATGTGATACACTGTGGGTATTTCAATGATTGTGATCTCTCCAGAAGATTTTAAAAAAGCATACTGAACAGAATTAGGAAAGGTGATATAAAAGTCTAGTAGCATCTGTGGTTTTACACAACAAGCACAGTGTACTGTAAGTATAATTAGTGAGTAGGAGTCAGGAATAAAGCAGGGTGAAGTCTGGATGAAGGGTGAAAGATTAGGAGCTGTAATACCTTGCAGGCAGTCTGTGACAGGAATCTGGAGAGGGCAAATACAGTTTTGAAAAGAAACTCCAAAGAGTTTATGCCGTTGTTTTGGTAATTTATTGTCATTAATTTCCGTACTGAACTATGGCCCTCTACTGCAGTCTTAAGAAGCATATACATGCATGCTGTATGTGACATAATGTATGAAGTTAGACCCAGCTGACACTGGGAACACTACCAGTTTTAAGCGACTGACAGGCATTCTCAAACCCAAATCTTAACTTAGAGTGACAGAGTTGCTTTTGAAAACGGGATCAAGGCTGCAAGATATGTTATGTACTTTTGAAAAATATGCTCTTAATTCTTTATCTGTCTGGCAGATTCTACACCTGATTTTGTTGTCAATAGTATGATCTAGTGGTGACCCACTGGGCCAAAACCAGTTCATATTACTTTTCCATCTGTCTTGTTGCCTTTTTTTTGCATTAGGGCCTGCAGTATGCTATTAAGTCAATGCAGCCTGTACTAAAAGTCAAATATGATCCTGACTGCTTAAGTACAGCCCAGCACAGACTCAGCCAAAGACTGTGCTCCTACCCTTCACCAGTACCACTCACACTGGCGGTCAGGCAGGTCTTTAACACTGAGATTAACAGCAGTCAGCATGTTGAACCATTTCATCTGCAAATACATTACATGTACGATCCTAAAGCTATAAGCCAAAAACTCACTGTAGTAGATACTATATAAACTCTACAAAATATGTCCTTCCCCAAATAGATTACAATCAGAATATGAGAAAATATCTTGATATAGAACAATTCAGGAAATGTTGAGTCAGTGTTGATTTGCATTGTAGATAATGGTCTTAATGTACCATCAGTGTGACTTCTCAGATTTTCTTTTAGACATCAGGAAAGAAACATTTGAAGGATTGACAGATGATAATGATGATGAGATATATTCAAACTTGTTCATGGGAAACATCTCCTGAACAAGGAAAATGCACAAAAAACCATTGAGCTTTGTAATGTCGGCAGTAGTATCAAGACATCTATCACATGCAGTCTGAAACAGTACTAAATGAAATTTGCTAGACAGCGCAAAGATGAAATAGGCTTTGGAGTATCTTGAAAGTGAAGACAAGCAGCTCAAGCACTCTTCCACCCCACATAGAGTGTAATACACTAAGTACTTTTTTTGATGTGAATCTCCCTGCTGTCTATGATGTGCTTTAGGTTGCACTGTAGTTTACCTGCAGAGTACAGATGGTGACTTCCTTCTTAACTGTGGAGAAAACAAATCCAATGGAAGCAAGTGAAGAGAGAGGTGGCTGAGTACAAACAACGGTCTACCTAAGAGAATGACTTTTTGGAGCAACAATAGCTTCCCTTTTCTTTCTAGGATGTGAATTACACGTAATGAAAATAATGTATACAGTAGAAATAGCTCAGAAGGTATAGCTTTTCCATGGCTACTTCTTAATGCTCATTGGCTACAAAGCCTATAAACAGAAAACACTTAAGGAATGCAAATGTTAAAAATATTTTCTAATCCCCCTTCTAATCCATTCATCTGCTCATTTTGCTGCCATCTTACAAGTGAGATCTATGAGTATCAATGGATAGCCAAGGACTTTTTAGTCTTACCTTGAAACTATTTTTGTGGCCATTGGATCTTGTCTTATTTTTCCCTGTCTATGGCTAAATAGGTTATCTTAAAACTCTGTGAGTGGTATACAGTATGGAATTCCTGTTGTCAGTTACACTATATAGTATACTATATATATACTATTATTATTTTATATATATATGGAATATATAGTTACTGTTATATATAGAAAATAATAGTATACTATATATATTTTTTTATATATATTAAAAATACTGTACTATATAGTATACTAGAATAATGCCATCACTTTAAATATTTCTTCAAGATAACTTCTAGGTCTTGTCTTCTGGATATTCTCATTTCACTTCATGTGGAATTGTCCATCCTACTGAGGAATGTGGTTTCTTTTAACTTGAGCATCAGTTTGATCCCCAAACATTATATTACTTCATTGCTCCTCATGTTAAGCACAGGTTTTTAATATTTGCTTCCTTTGAGCATTTTCTGTTTATAGCTTCATAGCCAATTTATATTCATCTGTTTGATGACTTAGTACTTTGGTATATTTATGTACTATTCCAGATTTACAGGGTTTTTTTTCAGAATTACAGATTTAAGCAGTGATAGAAAGACATCCCTTCTACTATTTAATACATTTGTAGTGGTTAACAACTTTTGAAAATTTATTTCTGTGTATTTTGTTTCAGGGGGGTGGGGAAGAACTGATTTTGCATTATTTTTCTTTCTTTCTTTCTTTCTTTCTTTCTTTCTTTCTTTCTTTCTTTTCCCTCCTAAACACAGAAACATAGAAAAAATGGCTAACAGAATGGTCCCTGAATTTATATCCTTATGGAAGGATGCTGAAGATTTAGGTGGAAAAACAGAAACTGCATTCCTTTTGAAAGAATTGGACACTCTGAGAGCCAAAAATAAAAAGGTACAATTGAGATATTCAGATCACAGTATTTGCTCTTTTATGGTTGTTTTACAAAACATACATTTTAAACTGTTCCTAATTTAGTTTTGTTATTTATTTTAGTGCACCAATCAATAGTTTCCCTGTCATTTTTGATTCTTAGTATCTGCTTAACAACTGCTTCTCTGGAATTAAAAAAAAAAAATGTTTCATCCTACCCTTTGACAGTTTTAATCACTGACATAGATTCTTGCACCATAGATGAAAAGCAAGGAGGACCAAAATCAAGACCAGGATTTCATTAATAGAATCTGGAGCTCATGCTTCTGTACATGTGGTCCAGATAATGAATATGCCCTGATACCTCCTCTTTTTTGAGGGGAAGAAAATTCCATCCTACTTGCACACTGCATCGCTTCTCGTGTTAGTAGCAGTTGCGTGTGCCTAAACAACTGAAAAGTCTATAGTCTTTCCATGAAGTGTCATTGGATATTAAGTGACAAACTCAGATATCTGTCCAAGACCAGATTTAGTGAATTCCCAGTTAAAAGAAAGGCTTCAACATGTGAAAGAATAGGAGTTTTCTATCTGATGTGCACATGAAAAATTATGCCTTTACACCGCAGTGTCTTTGGACTGTGATGTCAGTACTCATGGTAGGAAATAGTCTATTCATGCAGACACCACCTGCATTATATTACATGGAATTCTGAACTTCCTTAGTGAGAAGGACCACAGCTGGTGATATCTGAATAGAATCCTAAATAAAAATAATTGTACACACATTGCTACTTGCCTTGCAGAGCAAGATAGGGCAAATGATAAAAAAGATATTTTTAATATTTGTCCTTTAGTTAATTGAACTTCTGTTGTATTGCTTGGTGTTTGTATTCTGGGGGTAAGAAACTATTATTTAAAATTTTGTTGTGGTTAAAAGAGATGGTTAACTCTTTCAGCCAGATAAGAATCTTACTGTCCATTTGTCCAATTCAGCTTCAAGATAAGCTATCTGAAAAGGACAAGGAGCTGAAGACAATAAAACTGGACTTAGAGCTGCAAGAGAGAGCTACAGAAGCTAAGATTGCAGAAAAGGTTGCAGGTACAGTAGGCAAGCGTTTAGCAGATGTCTGTGTGGCTCATACAGTACCCGTGGTTGCTATATGACGTGGCCTAGTGAGTGTTAGCTTTATTTGCTAAAGGAGGGAAGATTTGACTTCTTTTTTATGTGTGGCTGTTTAGAGTTGCTTAGAAAATAGGTGGCTTTAACATCCTGGTACTGGTATTAGTAGGAGCTTTACCTGTATTCATACTGATTTGGGCATTAAATGCATTGTTAACACCATGTCAATCCAATCACAAAAAGGTTGTTTGTTTTGTTGGAAGGTCCTGAACAAACAAGGGGAAATAATGATTACCAGTGCCTCTACCTTTCAACCAGCAGTTCAAATACCACTTATTGTTTTAGCTCGTTCAGAGCAATACAACCCCCTCTCCCTGTATGGAGATAGTCATACATGCACCTCAACTAGAGACCCTTACTTTTCTTGAAAAATCTATTTTTTTCATAATTATAATTAATTTTTGTCTCATGATCGTATGTCTCCAGTGTTTGAAGTTTACACAGATTCCCAAAATGAAAGATTTTAATGTTATAGTTGAAAGTGAACGCATGTCTATATTTGTTGTTAGTTGTTGTTTGAGAGGACATACAAGAACGGAGACAGTTTGTATTGTACAATTTTGGAAATTTCTAAAGTAATGAAGCTGAGTATTTTTATTATTGAAAAGTGTGTGTGCAGTGTACCTAGTGGATGAAAAACTCTGAGGTTTTCCTCCAGGTATTTCAAAGAAATTAGTTTGAGTGCTTTTATAAATGCATTGTACCATTTGTTCATAAATCAAGTGTAAGCTAGGTAAAATTGTGTCCTCATAGACTACGCACACTTCATATAGTATTAATAGTATTAATACCTATACTCAAAATATTAGTACTGAAGGAAGGAGTAACTGTCTTCAGGAAAATGGAGCTGAAAATAACAGCTGAAAAAACAGATTTACTATCTTTCCACTTAATTTCAAACTCCTTATTCTGTGTATATTATAGATAGAAGAGGAGGTTCCTAGATTTTCGGTGGTGGAGGAAGGGAAAGGCAAATCTAATCTACGTATCAGAAAACAAATTGAATTACAGGAATAACTGTATTCTTATTGCATTTTGCATAAACTGCTTGTTTTATTTTCAGAAGAAAAAAAATTCCACACTGCATATCATAGTTATGTCCAGCAGCTGAAAGCTAATGAAGATTGTTTGGGTTGAATCCCAAGTTTTGTGTTTCTTCCTGGGTATTTGCACAGAGTTTTACCTCTGTACCTATAATAGAGGAATATTCTCTTTGATATAGGTGTTCATTGCTCATTAAAACCTGGAAAGAAATGTGTGTTGAAGGGTGTGTCAAAATAATGTTTACTTTTATTTTTATGGACACAGTTGAAATTTTGTTAGTAAATAGTTTTCTCTTACACTACTGTTTAAACTTTCTAATTATGTCTTAAGCATAATATTCTGTTCAAAACACTATGGCATGAATATGGATATAATAATGAACATAGTTGTTACTTTTTAAAGGAAAAATAAGCCAAATTTTAATGAGAGCTACAATGTGTAATAGGGATGACCTTTAAAAAATACCTTTTTTTCGCACTTTACAAGTTCAGGAAGTATAAAATCCTTTAAATGCTGAGAGAGGGGGCAAGAGGCTCCTTACTACTTAAGCTGTTTGCCAAAAGGAAGCATCGTTAATATTTCATGGGTTTTTTGCTTCCTGTCTTACAGTTCTAAGAATGTTACCAAGTTTGGATAAATGTTTTAAAATCTGGAATGATGTGAACCAAACTGAATTTGTAGAAGTCTGTGTGTCTCTTTCTCATAAGAGCTTTGGGGAGAGTTCTAATGGACAAGCAGAACCTAATAAAAAAGACTCACTGTGTTTAAGGAAAAACTTTTTCCCCCTTGTGTTAAGTCCTTTGAGTAGAGGAGAATGCATGCTGCTATGATTTTGTTGCTAGTTAATGTTTAATTACTGCAGTGTATAACACATGGTAGAGTCAAGCTTCTAAATATGGGTGTTTACATTTTTATTATTACTTAGTACTGACTTTATGATAAGAAAATTACCCCACAAAATTATATTGTAAAAAACATCAGAAAGGTAGACCATAAAAATGTTATCTACTTTGAGGAATATTGCAATTCCATTTTAAAATGTAACCCTCTAACTGATGGGTTTTACCTGAACAAGTCCCATGGAAAGAACAGAAAAACTGAAGACAAAGGCCATTTAAAAATGAAGCCACAACAGTCTTCATAAACAAATAACCCAAAGCTTGACACTTCATGATTTTTACTTTGTTCAGAGGAAGAAGTGAAGAGAAAAAGTGTAAATCTGCAAAATACTTCATGAGAGAATAAGAAAAAGTAGAGTTAAGGCAGAAGATATCCATGATGGAAGAGAATGTTTAATATTGCAAGCAGTAAATAACATATTTTCAGAAGGTGTTAATTTAAAAATTTTACCAACCTGGAAAATGGATTTTAGAACTTCCTTGAGTCCCTATCTGTGTGTCAGGTAGCTGTGGCTAAGGAAAGTTAGGGAATTCACAGTTTTGCTTGCAGGCTTTTAAGCACTGGAGACTATTGTTTCTGGTGGTCATAGCAGCCACAGGTTCCTGCTGTTTCTTCATTATTCTTCTGTTGGATTTACTCTCATAAGCCAGTGTCAGAAGGTCACTACCTGTCATGAAGAGAAGAACAGAGGTGGAGGCAACATGGGGAAAATCAAGGGAAGAGCACATCATAAAAGAACTGAGACTAGGATAATGTAAGCAGAGGAGAGAATACAATATGATAACTGGGTATGAAGACTAGCCAAATCTCGAATTCTGGGACAGCAGAACTTTCATATGTTAAATAGGAAAAGGCATGGGTGCACTCTGTGGGAAGGGAAAGGGGGAAGAAGCACACATCTTCTGAGGACAGACTGGAAGATAAGGGTGGAGGCATTGCAAAGGAGTAAGTCTTCAACAGAACTGGCAGAGAGAACAGAATTCACTGTATGGACATAATAAATGACTTCATTTTTTCCTAACAGAATAATTCTACAGAGGTTATATAGGAACATTTAGAGGAAAGAGATAGTTGAGTGTAAGTGAGAATTGTAGAGCATAGTGGTAGCCTCTCTAGACTAGAAAAAATATCAAAGCCCTTGTCTTCTCACAGTAACTCCCACCATTACTGCAACAAGATATGCCATAGTTGGCATCAGAGCCTCAGCTCATGGAATATTTTTGTTGCTATCACAGTGCTATATATTGCGACTAAGAATGATTTGGAAATAAAAAACAGTAAAAAATATTTCTCCTTAATTCTTGGGGGGGGTGGGGGGTGTGCCAATATCTAATGGTAATGTTACCAAAATTTAATTTTTTTTTAAATCATAGTCAGCTCGATAGGAAGAATTAGATTGAGTCCAACCCTGCTAGGTCTGTTAGATGTGACACACTAACTTTAATGCCTGAAAACTATTAGCATTTGCAGATGCTCTCTGAAAGACCAGGATAATTATAGAAAATACAGGAAAGACACAGATAGAAATATAGGAAAGCAGTACTTCCAATACTGTTGTATATGTTATACATCTTTCAGTCTCTTGGAAAGTATGGCAGTATACCTACAATGAAGTCCTTTTTTTCAGGTCTTCTTTTTACAAAAATGTTGAGAATTAACATTTGTGGTATTTTGGACTTCTTGAATATGGTAAGAAATGCTAGTGAACATTATTTGAAGCTTCCTAAATTAACTTGAAAAATAATTACTGAATGAATATGCAATAGTTTTAATAGCAAAAGTGAAAACAAATATCCAAGTGGCTATTAGCTTAGAGTAAAGTTAATTTGATTTAATATCCCATAAAGTAAGAGGAAATAAGTAGTCTTGCCAGCAATAAACTTTGGATGTCAATAACTACCATCATGGAAGAAAAGTATTTTCCATTTCTTCAAAGCTCATTTTAGAGTCCCTTTTTAGATGTTATTTTTCTTTCTTGCATGTCATCCATTAAAGATTAGCTGTTGAAGGTTGGAGCATGGAGAGATTATGAATGACAGAACAACTCCTGCAGAATAATAATCAGTTTTTGGTATTTAATGCTGTTTGACTTTTGCAGACACATTTCTTATTAACCTTTGGTACAAACAGAAATCCAGGTTCCCGATAACTCATGGAGAAGATGAATTCAAGATCCTCTTCCAATTAAACTGAAATAAGGCCAATATTGGGTTTTAGCCAAAAGAACTCAATAGTTCCCAACCCTTGTGTTTATAAACCTAAATATGAATGATATTTTACAGTTTAAGTAGGTAATGCATATACTTCCCTAACTCAGTTTTCTGTGCATAATCCATTTGTATATATAGTCTATATAGTTCTTTGGGGGTTTGTCCTATTAATGCTTCATTATGCAAAACTATTTCCTGAATAGTTTTTCAAAATATTTCTGGGTAAATAACAGAATTTTGAAGATAGCTGTAGAATTTGAATCCTGTGTACAGGAAGGTAGACAATCCACCCAAACAACAGGAAAAAAAAACCCAAGGTGAGGGTGTTGTGAGTGAGAACATCTTGGCTTAATTTTTAACAGCTTAATTTGAAACAATTAATTTTACCTTCAGATTGACAGAATTGTTGATTGTCAAGAAGTTGCATGCAGATCTTTCAAGTACACTAGACAATGAGCTATCATAGGTTAAAATATGAATTACTAAGCTATTTATGGGTGGAGCTGATATGTAAAAACCAAGCCAGTATCTTCTGCATATTTTTATGATTAGTCTGGCCCTTCTCTCTTCCCTACCACAGTGCTAGATGAACATAAAGAATTGGGTTTTATTCAGGCATAGAAAGGTTCTGCAAATAACCTGCTTACTGGGGTATTACAGAAGCTTTTCTTTAACCTGTCAAATTATAACTTGCAAACTTTAATGCAACATTCATATTTCCCCCCCCTAAAGTAAATATCAAGCATCAATAATTGTTCACTGAAA